GCGCTTTTGGTAGCATTTGGCAATTTCAGGGTCGACCAGCCTAGTGGGCCACTTGAAAGCCGTAGAGGACCTCGAGCCCAACTTGTTGGAGCAAGGATTCGAAGTCCCGACACCGTTTTGGGAGAGATCCACTTTCTTAGGAAGTTATCCTAGAGCATCCTCATTCGCTGGCCATGAAATTAGGGGTGGGCGTCCAGTTCGGGTTCAAATCTCCGAACCGAACCGACAATAAATGAAACCTAATGAAACCGAATTGTATGGTATTCGGATCAAAATTCTGAAAGGAAATAGGCTGAATTCGGAACCCAGGGTCCTCTCGACCAAACCAGAATTCCCAATTTCGAACCGAAGCCCAACTCCCAACTGCGTGTTTCCTCTCACAAGCCACAACTCAAACCCTATACCTAATCCCACCTCCCAACTACCTAATACGCTAAACCTAAATACCTAATTAACAAAAGAGAGAGAAAAGGAACTCTCTGTTTTTCTCTACTCTCTCGGTAGGCGGCAGCCACAACACATCCACACACCACCCCACTCCGCACCCATCGCCACTCACCACTCACCGACGATCAAGTGGGTGCCGCACTGTTCTTCTCTTTCCTTCTCTTCAATCGCATCGCCGACAATCACATGCAGGCAGCGCCACCACCACCTACTGGAATAAACAAACGACGATGGCTGGGAAAGATAAAGGCTAGTGGAGGCCTCGAGAGTTCTGGATCTGACAAGAGATTGAAGCTCCAACCAGGCGACCACCTATTCTGGTTCTCAATCCTCTCGATCTTTGAGATTTGATTCCCGTCGAGCTTGTTGCTAAAGGTAGAGGAGATGATGGTCCAGACTGGGAGAATCGGGGAGAGGATTTGATGGTCGAGTTGGGGGAGTCTGGGAGAGAAGAAGAGTAGACGATGGTCGAGTTGAGAGGGAGACGATGAGAGAGAGTTCTGAACTAGGGGCGTAAGTTGCGATGGGTAGGCTGTGAGGTTTGGTTTTGCGGGAAGGACGAAGAGGAAGTTTCGGTTTTGTCAGGTTTACCGAACCAAACCAATATATATTTTGGTTTGGACTCATCAACTGAAATATATTTCGGTTCGAGTTCGGTTTGATGTTTGGAGGACTTTGGGACCCGGTGTGCCCCATTTCGGTTCGTTTTCGACTTAACCGAACCGGTGCTCACCCCTACACGAAATTGTAGGCTTATGATTGGCCAAATGACGCAGTAGGGATGAGTATTCCTTCTCAGAAAGTCTAATTGAAGAGCTATAAATAGAGCTCTAGAGCTAGAGTTTAGAGGAGGAGGAGACGAGAGGTCTACGAAGGGTCGTTACTCTGCCGACAGAGTAACTCTTCTGATTTAGAGCGACGCCACCTTTGAGGGAGAGTCAGCGGTAAATCTCCCAACTGGCTACGGGTCATGCACTACCTGCACGCAATCAGCAAAAGTAACCCGTGAAGGCACACAGTTGGAAGAGAGAAAATGCAGTAAAGAAAATGCTAAAGTAATAAACTTTCACGTTTCCACAATAACCTAGAAGCTCCCCAGCAACGGCGCCAAAAACTTGACACGCTAAAACACAACACCAAACTGCAACCAAGTGTAATCGCAGTCCGGAAATGCAGTAAAGTGGCAAGCTCTATTTGTCAACCCGGGGTCTAGATCTGCTCCCTACTCCGTGATTATCTATTATCTATCAAACTAAGTTGAGTGATTGTGATTTTAACTAAAAGCAGTAAGAAAGCTGGAAATGGTTCAAAGTTCTTTAGCAAGGGAAGAGTCACTCGGGAATGAGTCCCCCTAGCTCCTTAGTTAGGTCGAGGTTGTAATTACCCGGGATTGATTAACTGTTGATTAAACTGCGGAAGATCCTACAATAGTTTGGAATCTCTTAAGCTAACCAAGCCCTCTCAGGCAGGCTAACCGGGAGGCGACTAACCTTCACCGGGATAGACTGCTGAGGCAATAAGCACAGAACTCCACTACTAGAATTGGGTTCCAGTATAAAGCAGTAAATCGATTAACTCTCGTATAACCAATCTACCACTACCGATTGATGAAGCTCTAACAACCTAATCAGATTCAATCTATCTCAGGTTGCAGCAGAAATCAAGAAAAGATGATCAGACTTCAATTGACTCAATGAATCATGCATCAATCCATTATAACCAATCAGTACGTATATCAATCCCAACTCATTACAATCAAGATTCCTAACACATGAAACTAGGGTTCTTCATACCCAAGTGAGAGAAGGTTCTACCCCATAGAGAGAGAGAGAGAGAGGAAAACAGAAATCAGAGTAGTCATACTCATAAAGATGAGGATATCTACTCTGGGATGTCAATCTTCACTCCTGGGGATGCAATTTGGGCTTAAATGGTGAGAAATCCACTCAAAATAGCTCCTAGTGTTTGTTCTTCGCACTTTCTCTCTCTAAAGCTCTGTTTTTCTAAAAAACTCGATTCTCCCAAAATATGAGCTCCTCTCCAAATAAAACCCGCACAGGTGCAAAAACAGGGCCGTGTTTTAATCAAAAGAGGTCGGGTTTTTGAATGGTGATTCTGTGAAGGGCAGAGGAAAAACACGGCCTCTAGCACAAGGCCGTGTTTTTCACACTAGAGGGCGTATTTGAGGGCGTGCTTTTCAACAGCCTTGCTGGCCGGTTTTCGCGATCGACCTTCTTTCACCTCCAAATGTCCCGAAACTTGCCCCAAGGCCATATCTACGTACTAGGACATGAAATACGACAAGAGAACACAACCTAGCGTAAAATAGGCCAAGGAATGAACAATCACTAAACTAAACGATCAAAAAATGATGGGAAAAACATGTGCAAATACGGTATTATCATCGTGCTGCCACTCCACAAACACCGCCACCATTCGTCGAGCTAAACGAGCAGTTTCTCGCCCTGGCCAAGCACCATTTGCCTCCCGCCGCGCGAACCCAGGGGACCCCAGACAACACAAATAGCCTGCCGGCAGAGGAAAAAGATGGGAGAAGATCTTCTGTCTTCAAGCTCACCAAAGCCGCATCCGTCGCCAAAGGCTGCTTCTCCGGACCACCAAGACCTGCAAGGTGAGAACAAGGAGGTAGACTATGGAAAGGATAGGAGAAGACAAGCTAGACTAGAGTAGATCTAGTCTCCTTGCATCTAAGAGGGACAAACATCTCCAGATATGAGAACATACCAAAATAGAGGGCAAAAACTCAACCCAATCGATGGGGAGGGAAGCAATCAGACGGAGAAAATGAACATGCAAGAAACAAAAGTCATGGAATGGTTGGAGAACGCAGAACCGAGGAAGCGAAAACTTGAACATAAGAAAGCACGAAGAACGAAAAAAAAGAAAAGGGGGGCGGAGAACTACCGCTGGTCACCGGAGAACTAGGCGCCGGCGGCAGCCCCCATTGGAGTCAGGAAAAGGGGGTTTTTTTTAGATAGTGGTCAGAGAAAAATTTGAACGAAAAAAGTTAGAGAGAGGTAGCGCGCTCCATTTCTGGTTTTTTAACAACACTACATATAGGGGTGGGAAACTGGACGAGATTCGGTACCCGTCCCGTTTGAAACGCGTACCCAATCCTATTTGAGAACCAAAGTTCATCCCATATCCCAAACCCGTACGGGTAACGGGTACGGGACGGTTAATGGGTACCCAAACTACCCGTTTAAACCCGTTTAACATGGGAATAATTACAAAATTGTACATGCAACAAAATATAATAAAATTATACTTGAAACAAATTGACATACTTCCCCATAAGGCATAAGCTCATCAAACAAAATAACAAAATAAAGTTATTGTACATGAGTTTGAACAACAAAATAACAAGATTTGAGGCACTGTAATTACCTACATAAACATAAGTTGTTGTCTCCATAATTTTTGTTGCTGTCCCCTTAAGCTTGCTGTCCACAGAGCATAATTTCATTCGGCATTAGTGCCTTACTGGGACAATAAGAACCCACAAGTTCATTCGACATTAGTCTCTGCTATATATATTTTGACCACAATGTGTATTGGGTATAACGTGTACCCATATTACCCAAACGAGTATTAGCGGGTAACCCGCGGGTACCCAATGTGGACATTTACAATCCCATGTTCCATCCCTTAATAAATGAAACGGGTATTCGAGTACCCATAACACTCAAAAAATGAGACGGGTATGGGTATACCAAAATACACGTTTCCCGTTGCCCACCCCTAATTACATAACCTAATTACATAAGAGAATACAATTACCAACTTTTTTTTTTCTAGAATTGCTCTCATTTCATAAAATTTAAATTAGAGAAATAGTTTCCTCATTTAAGCTTTATATATGATTTAGACAACTATGAATTATTATTAATGAAGACATCTTTATTTGAAATCGAACAATCTGTATAGCGATGAGGATTGGTCGACCAAATCAATTGAACAGTCTACGCTAGACGTCAAATAATTATTTTGTTTGACATTTAACCCAAATCACCAAAAACATATACATAACGTTCATTATAATCATCGACAATCTGAAAAGTGATCAAGAGCTACTACGGTTTCATGCCACTATTCGTTTTTTACGAACTTGGCTAGACATAAATTATACAAGAAAATCATTATAATTGCATATATTCCATGAGTCTCAAATTAGGATGTCTAGGGACATTAGATGGAGAGAAAACGAACTCATAAAACAAGTCGAAGAAAAGCTAGAATATTAGTGAGTTGACTTATTGTATCTTTGTCCCGATTGAATGCGAGAGCAATATATATACGTATAAATATTATTTAAGTTATATCACGTTTCTAATAAAAACTTGGTTTACGTGTGGGGAATTAACGACCAATTCATATATACAAATTAAAATGAAGAAATCTCTGTCGGCCTTCTCTCTACCATCTGACGCTACCCAGCTCTCTATTGGGAATGCCAATGTTTCATTTCATGAGGAGGCTCTATAAATAAACCATGATCTCGAGGCATCTATTTATATATAAAAAAAAAAATAATGGCGATCTTGGTTTCAATATGGACAGTAACAATATTACTGTGTTTTTTAGTTGCATCATCGGGTGCTGAAGAGGCTAGCGACAGCAGATGTGACGTCGATCATTCGTGCAACCAGGGACGGTGCTGTAGCCGTTACTTCTTCTGTGGTACCGACTATGGCCATTGTGTCACTTATTGTTTGTCCCAGTGCCACTATGTACCACCACCGCAAACCACTGCGGCCGTCGTCGCATGGCGGCGGCCGGCGGAGGGCACCCTCGATCATCTACTGAATATTAATGCCACGTTTAAGAATGTTAACTCATCGTCGCCATGCGCGATTTCTCTCTCCAATGTGCCGCTGGCTGTGCGTAACAAGTATGCTTTGGCTGCTTTCGGAGCAAAGATTTCGCTGCCGCAGCTTGAATCGTCTTCACCCTCGGGAGCACAACAGCCGACTAACACTACTACTAATTATTGCGGCAAGTGCATGAAGGTACGTATATTTTCCTTGATCTTACGATTGATGATTGACTCAAAAGAGCTAATTAGACATGACATATATATCGCTCATTATTTTGATTGCTTTGGTGTATATGTTAGTTGAGAAATCGCGGAAGCGGAGCTGAAGCGATGGTGCGAATTGTTGACGAACGTAGCAGCGAGGGTCTGGAATTGGACCGTGAAACTTTCGACAAGCTTCGTGCCAAGAGGATTGCAAATGCGGAAAGTAATGATGATCGCCACCTTGTGCTGGAGTATCGCTTTTATAACTGTTGAAGACAGAATAAATGAAAGGAGAGGATGAGGCTGTTCACTTGTAGTGAATCAAAATTATACACAAGTATGAAGTATCTACGAGTTACGATCATGATGAGAGCTAATAAATCAGAATGTCAAAGAAGTAGTAATAATAATAATAATAATAATAATAATAATAATAATAATAATAATAACAATAATAATAATAATAATAATAATAATAAAAAAGAAGGTTTAAGAAGTATGTACTTTGTATCATTGTCGTCGTTGTTGATGCTGGAAAAATAAAGCGTTTTCTATGACCATATATATACGTACATCTATATAGATCTATTCACAATTTCACATGTTATGGGGAGGGAGGGGGCGGGGAAGGTGTTGAGATATGGGATATGAAATTAACAAAGAAGTTGAAAGGTAGGTTTTGAAACCCTAGAAGGCTTGCTTTGATTCTCATTGAGATGTTGTTTTAATAGTCCCAGTACATCAGAAGAAGACAATCTTCACAGCTTACACTCTTGCTGTGTTGCTTAACTTGAAAAGGAAAGAAAGGACATGCTTGACAGAGAAGAAAACGTTAAACAGGGATGACAAATGGAACGCAGCACTTCAGCCCAAAACGGTGTGCTTTGACAAAGTGATCTTCTTCTTCATTCCGCAGCGCGCGTTGACTCCAACGGTCAAAATCAATTTTGATTTTCAATCCCCTGCTCTGTTACCCCCCCGCAAGCTGGTGGGCACAGATTGTGCACACCAAGCTTGGAGAGAAGAAGGCTAAAAGGAGCTGGGGAGAGAGGCTTTGTAAACAAATTCGCGAGGTGGTGAGCGGAAGAAACGTGAAGCAGCTTGAGAGTGTTGTTGAGGATCTTCTCGCGCACCAAGTGACAATCGAGTTCGATGTGCTTGGTGCGCTCGTGGAAAGTAGGGTTTTTGAGCGATATAAATCGCACTCTGATTATCACAGAACAGAGTGGCAGGCTGCGAGTTAGGTACCTGGAAGTCAGCAAGAAGATAGAGAAGCCACTGGATTTCGCAGCTGGTAAAAGCAAGGGCGCGATACTCGGCCTCGCAAGAAGAGCGAGAAACGGTCTTCTGCTTTTTGCTTTTCCACGAAATGATCGAATTACCAAGGTAGATGCATTAGCCAGAAACAGAGCGGCGAGTATCGACACAAGCTGCCCAGTCTGAATCAGTGAAGCCTTTCAATTGAAAAGAACCTTTGCTGGGATAGAAGAGACCAGTGGTGGGTGCTGACTTGAGGTAACGCAAAATCCTTTCAACTGCTTTGTAGTGAACTGTACTTGGGTTGGACATAAACTGGCTAACCTGTTGTGTGGCATAAGAGATGTCGGGCCTGGTAGTGGTCAAGTATATCAATTTGCCAACCAAAGTTCTGTAACGTTCTGGGTCTAGATATGGTGTTGGACAATCTGATGTGAGATGCAATTGATAGTCCATAGGTGTAGAAACCGATTTACTGTCCAGTAGATGTGCCTCCTCAATGATTTCCAAAGTGTATTTGCGTTGGGATAGATGAATCCCAGTAGCATTTCTGGAAACTTCAATGCCCAAAAAATAACGGAGTGATCCCAGGTCTTTGATGCTGAATGTTGAATGCAGAGAGGCCTTGAGCCTGTTGATTTCTTCTAAATCATTCCCACCAACCAGTAAATCATCAACATAAATGAGTATAGCAGTGTAGGAAGTGTCTGTGACTCGGTAGAAGAGAGAGTGATCTGCTTTACTCTGTAGATAACCTTCTTGAAGTAGATGATCATTCAACTTAGAGAACCATTGCCTAGAAGCCTGTTTGAGGCCATAGAGAGATTTTCTAAGGCGACAAACAGGGTTCTTAAAACCAGCAGGAGGTGTGTAACCCTAAGGTAAAGTCATGTAGACTTCTTCCTCTAAATCCCCATGTAAGAAGGCATTATTCACATCTAAATGGTGAATATTCCAGTTTCTGAGTGCTGCAATTGCCAAAAAAGTCATGACTGTGGTCAGTTTAATAACAGGAGCAAAAGTGTCCTGAAAATCAACCCCCTCTTGTTGAGTGTTGCCCTTTGCAACCAACCTTGCTTTGAAACGATCAAGGAAACCAGTAGGTAGAAATTTAACTTTGTAAACCCATTTATTGCCAATGGGTTTCTTGCCTGGGGGCAGTTCCACAATGTCCCAGGTATGATTCTTTATCAAAGCTTTAGTCTCAAGCTGCATAGCAGCATTCCATTCATCAGATTGAGATGCCTCCTTGTAGGAGTTTGGTTCAATGTAAGAGGATATGTTGAGTAAGTAGTTTCTGTGATGAGGGGCCAGAGAATCATAAGAGAAGATAGAAGAGAGGGAGTACCTTGTCTTAGGAGCCTGAGGTGGAGAGGATGAAGTGGAGGTGCCAGACTGTTGGAGGAGGTAGCAGTGATAGTCTTTGGTGAGGTGTGTGGGGGGTTTGGAAGGTCGTGTGGATTTTCTAATGGGATTTGGTGGTGGTGATGGTGGTGGAGAAGAAGGAATAGGAGGGGGAGAAGGAATTGGAGAAGAGGTAGGACTGTTGTCTTGGAAGGTGGGTGGGGAAGATGATTGTGAATGGACTGGAGAAGTTGGTTGATGGGGAATGGATGATGGGGAAGTGGGTGCTGGATTGGTAGGTTGAGAAGATGGAGGAGATGATGTGTCATCATCAAGATAGGGTAAAGTAGGAGTAGGGAACAAGTCTGTTTGTGAGGGTTCAGGGGAGGGAATAGGATGATCATCACTGTTGCTAAGGTCTTTGAAAGGAAAGTGGTCTTCATAGAAGATCACATCTCGGTAAATGAAGGTATCATGAGAAACTAAGTCATAAACCTTATAACCCTTGATGCCTGAAACATATCCAAGAAAAACACACTTTCTAGCTCTAGGTTGGAATTTTGTCCTGTGGTTACCTAGGGTACTAGCAAAGCAAAGACAACCGAAGACCTTAAGGTCCGAGAGATCTGGAGTTTTGTTATGAAGAACCTCAAAGGGAGTCTTGTTTGACAGTATAGAAGTAGGAATTCTGTTTATAAAAAAAACAGCATGTTTAACACAGTCCCCCCAAAACCCAGCTGGCAGATCAGCTTGAAATTTTAGAGCCCTAGCAACTGCTAAAATGTGTTGATGTTTGCGTTCCACCTTACTGTTTTGTTGAGGTGTTTCCACGCAAGACATCTCATGTATGATTCCTGTGGAATAAAAAAAATCAGACATATGGAACTCCTTTCCTTGGTCTGACCTGATTCTTTTGACACTGGATTGAAACTGTCTTTCTGCCTGTTTACAGAATGAAATGAGTCGAGGTCTAGCCTCAGATTTGAGAGTCAATAAAACAATCCAAGTCATGCGAGAAAAGTCATCAACAATTGTCAAAAAATACTTGTAACCATCAAAAGAAGGAACTGGATTAGGCCCCCAAATATCAACATGTAGTAGCTCAAATGGTTTAGAGGTTACAGACTTGCTAACAGGAAAAGAAAGTCGTCTTTGCTTAGCAAAGTGACAAACATCACAGGGTCTATCTCTTTGAGTTTCAATGGAGGTACAAAATTGTGAAAGGAAAGGCACTTTGGAATGAGAAACATGTCCCAAACGAAAGTGCCAGAGATCAAAACAGTTGGCCCTAGCAGCAGTGATGACTTTAGGAGGGGAATCTAAATTTAATAGGTAAAGGCCATTAGACAGTCTAGCAGAACCACTCACTCTCTTCATCCTCAAGTCCTGTATAAGACAACAGTCAGAAAAGAATGTTAAGCAGAGAGAATTGATGGTGGTAAGCTTGGTGACAGAGATTAAGTTGAAAGTGAAATTGGGAACAAAGAGGACATCTTGAAGTATAAGGGTCTCAGTGCAAGGGGTAGTCCCAATATGAGTGGCTTGTAGCTGTTTCCCAGTGGGTAGAGTAATGAAAATGTCTGTAACTGGTTTGTAATTGTGTAACAAATCCAAAGAGCAGACAATGTGATCACTTGCTCTAGTGTCCACAATCCAAGTTGTGGATAAATTAGGCTTTTTGAATTGAGGAGGCACTGATAGGAGATATTTACCTGAACTGCCAAAGGTTTTAGTGTAAGCAGCTGCAGTGAATGAAGAACCAGAACCTTTAGAAGAGTGCATGAGACTCATGAGCTTGTCATAGTCTGCCTTAGTTAGCTTGACTTCAGTTTCTTCAGAATCAGTGGAAACAGAATTGGCAAACTGTTTTCCCTTGCCCTGCACACCTTGAATGCGAGGAGGGAAACCATGTTTAGCATAGCACCTGTCTTCAGTATGTCCCTGCCTCTTGCAGAAAGTGCATTCAAATGTTCTTGTTTGAGGAGATGGTGTGGATCTGGTGTTTCCAGGGGGGCCAGCCGTGTTTGTGATAGCAAATCTCTCCGGTGTGACCATCTCTTTTGCAATAAGTACAGTAGGGTCTTTTGATGTTTGAGGCAGGGCGTCGAGAAGAACCTTGCACTTTGAGGACAATGGAATCAGAGGAAACAGTAGCAACTGTTTTACCCCTTTGAGTACCATAAAGCTGTCGCTCATGTTGCAACATACGTTGGAAAACACGATTGATAGTTGGCAACTCTTCACCAAAAAGTACTTGAGAGCGAACAGAGGAAATTTTTTCATTCAATCCCCTTAAGAACTTGATAACGTAGTTTGTATCATGGTATTCATAGACCCTCTTCATAGCTCTGCAATCTCTATGGCTTGTTGGTGTACAGTCGCAAGCAATAAGTGGCTGGTAGTTATCGAGTTCATCCTTGAGAGTGATGACACGGCCATAGTACTCAGTGATTGTTTCATTACCTTGTTTCAGATTGGAAAGAGCTTCTTCGATCTCAGCAACTCGGATGATGTCACCAGCTCCATAACGTGATTACAGACTTCTCCAAGCTTCAAGAGCTGTTTTGGAAGAAAGGATAGTCTTTCTGATTTCTGGTTCAACAGCTTGCTGAATCCAGCTCAAAATCATCACATTGTTGCGCATCCAGATGCCACGAAGTGTTCTGAGTCTT